GAGAAATTATCCCAAAAATTTTTGGTTTTTTGGCATTTCCAAAATAGATGCGTCAAATCCTCTTTCTCGTCATGGCAAAAAGTACATTTTTCGTCCTCTTTAACTCCTATTTTTTGCAGATAGCTGTTAGTTGGTAAACGTCTGTGTAAAAATCTGAAATTAAAATCAATTAGTTTTGAGCTCGTTGTACAAGTGTTTGCTGCTTGAAAAACGTTTCTCCAGTCAACATTTTTATCGGTTGAAGAGTGGATGTCTTTATGCCATTTGTCTATACAAGATATGGGTTTTTCACTTTTATTTGCTATTAGTTGCTTGTAAGCAATTCTAGATGATTTTTGGCTTTTGAGAAATGTGTTAAGAGCACTTGCATAATGCTGATGTGTTCTCGGGATTTGTCGTTGTAAAGATTTCACGGCTGAGACGATTCCGAAAAACATTAAGGGTTTTACTCGAATGTTATATCTGTTCTGAAAATGGTCGAGGGAAAAAAAGTTGAGAGAATTCTCGTCCATTAGATGTTTAACTTTTGTTATACCCTTGTTAAGCCAATTATTGCAAAAAAATGGTGCGTTATTTATTCTTATTAATGAATTTTGTAACAGAGGTAGAGATAGAAAATGATCTTTTGATACTATTTTGCTCTTGAAGAAAGTGTCAGACCAAATTTCTACAATTTCTTTGATAAAAGGGTCTTCTATCTTTAGCTTATCAATATCCTTTCTGTTAAGATTTCCTAATTCGAAAAAAAGACTTCCCCCGTATTTTCCCAGCTTCAGATTAAAGAAGTTTTTCCATTTGCCACGGTTTCCAGAATATAGATATTTTTTAATCCAAGTAGCCTTGAGTGATTTGTTAAAAGAGGCAATATCAATCATTTTTAGTCCTCCTTCAGGGTAGTCACTGATCATGATCGAGCGTTTAATTTTATCCTTTTTGCCGTTCCATAAGAAACTGAAAAAAAGCTTGTTGATCTCTTTTATTGCTTGGTGATTCGCTTGCAAAGGTGTGAGTATATAGACCAGTTGGGATGCTACAAGGCTTTTTAGTACTGTTATTTTCCCTTTTAAGCTAAGTAATCTATCGTCCCAAGATAGTTTGGATTTTTGCCAATTTCTCGTTGTAATTGAGAGAGTGTGTTAACTGGTGATCTGTAGAGAGCCACACGCCTAGTCCTTTGACCTTTCCCTTTTGCCATTTAAAATTTTTTGCGGACAGAGTTTCAGGTTGCAGTTTCTTTTAGAACCTAACCACAATACCTCTGTTTTCTTATTGTTCAGCCTTAGGCTAGATATGTTCCCAAATGCTTCTATCAGTAACAGTGACGCTCTTACTGATTCTTCAGTTCCGTCTAAAATGAGTCCCTGGAACACTTTCTCAGACAATGACACTTAAAACTCTTCTGACAAAATTTTAGCATGTTTCTCCTTCAAAATTCTTCTGACAAATTTTGAACATTTGACTCTCCTTGAAAACTCCTCTGACAATAAATTTGAACAATTGTTTTTCCTTTAACACTCTCCTGACAAAATGAAGTCTTCCAGTCGACAATTAATTTTCAGGAATCATGAACAACAAACCTCTAGTCCATTCCACTTCACTGGCTTCTGACAGTACCTACAAGGTGCAGTCCTGTTAGGACACTCGTCTTGTAGATGCTTTACAAGGTCTGTCCTTTTGAGTTTCCTTCCACACTCATTGGGGCAATCCAACTCGACAAATTCACACACACTTAAGTGGTCCTAGAAAAAAAAACAAATGTATGATCATAATCGCAACGAATAACACCAGCATTCAAGTATTAGGTGACTAGAATAGGGAATTACCTAAACCTATGCAAGATGAGAAACAATGAGACTGGAGACAATAGACCAATCCCCTTGCCTTGCATCTACAACAGACTCTTTGAGACCATTGTTTGAAGTAACATACCTCACCTTAAACAGCACAACCTGATTCACTTTATGTGGCATAGTTTTTGTAGGGCATTGACCTGTAAATCTCAGCTTGCAGAATTCACAATATTGGCCTTGCTCTTTAACGTCCATGTCAGAAGACTGATGTCATAATGGCCAAGCAAAGCAGTTGCCAGGGTATTACATGACAGTGGCAGACTCATCACACAAGAATCCATGATCTCAGCAACAACCTACCTCGTTTGATTCAATGCCCTCTTTGAGAAAGTTGCAATATATAGTAGGAAGCAGCTCTCACAAAACCAAGGCTCAACAACAGAAATAGAACTAGCGAAGATCATAAAGTCTTATGGTTCACCTGTTTGCAAATTATACAGTCATTGTATCATCTTGCACAGTGTACCTCACTGTCAAAAATTACTATGCATTTCATCACTTTGAACAGTTCCAAGAAGATCTTGAAATGCTGAAGTGGGAGGAAAGATGGAAAAATTATGTATAGTAAAACCAAACAAGAAGGTCTCCAAATCTCCATTCTCAAACTTCAACGTTTTATATGGCTTATTTGCATAGTCTCCTTCTCAAAGAACTACACAGAGCAAAGTATGTGAAGACCCATATTTCCAAAGCTATCAAGCTAACCAGGCACACTGATGAAACAACTGCTTATCAAGGCTCTCACTTTAGAGGAACAGGTAGATCACCAGCTTACCCAGAGGGAGCCTGTTAGTTAAAGGGCTTGTAGACTTCAATACCTCAAGTACACGCTCTGTGAGTGTTTGGGATCTGTCCCACAATTACAGTGGTTCCAACTGGGTTTAACTGCCAACTGGTAAAGCAAGGGGCTGTAAGATGGACATTTGACAGATTCTATGCATGGTTGAGTCACGCTACAAACCCACTTTGACCATGATGAGGACCACACAGGTCTTAGTTCTTTGGGCAGAAAAGCTCTCATACACCCACATCAACAAAGACATGATATGAAGTACTATACCCACCATGAATTGTTCACCCTCATAATTTTTTTTCAATGACCACTGAGCATCACCTCTTTTACCACAAACAAAACCAAAATAGAACTATGAAAACAACGTAAACCTAATTGGGACAGACATGGGGTGAAAGTTACTTGCATTGTGTACTGAACAAACCACACACTAAAAGTGCTATAATCTTACACTAGCCAGAATGAAGAAAAAATCTCATAGTTACCGCCAGAGCTAATAAAGCCCCAAGGGCTATGATAAGAATGCTTACTAAATGGATGTTAATAGATTGATTTATCACCCATATCCATTCTGTACTCAAGTTAATGATACCTGGATGTATGAATGAAAACAAGATAAAGAAGTAACATGCTATACCTCTAAATTTCTTAGGGGCCCTTTCCAATGACAACCATGTTGTTTCTTTAGTCGGCAAAAAACATCATGAGACAGCATCTCCCTCTTGGCAAAATTATCTGGATAAAGCTACAATATAAAAATAAATTATTATGGCAACATTTTTCGAGGCAAGTCAATTTTGATGTTCATTTTTGGTCAATGGCAGCTACAGTCAAAGAGGCCCAAAATACATGAGGCTCAAAGATAAGAGAGTGTGGATGTTCATCTAACATTTTTCAAACATGTACATGTACCTCTGAAAGAGCTCTTTAGTACGTTGTGTCTAAAACCTTGCTGTTGTCAATAATTACCTGTGACTCATTTAAGCGTTCATTATCCACAGGGCACTTGGGCCTGGCATCCCTAGAAAGAATTAGAAGGAAATGATAACCAGTTATTAACTTTAGCAATAAGCAAGCAGCAGCTTTTTCACTGATCGCCAAATGCTGAACACCAAATTAATTAACAGTAATTTTTACTAACCATGGTGGATTTAATTCAGCAAATTTTTAGTAACCAAACGTTGGAAACTACTAACCATTGGATATCGGGTTACCATTAATTTGAGCCTGCCCTGAATTTTATTGAAAATATGTATGTACACTGTATGAACAGAAGCACAGTAATCATTGTTTTTCTTCTTACTTTTGGTCATTTTCTCTTCCCTCCCAGTAACACTAACTCAAAAAAACTCTAACAAGCTTCTTCAATTTCCCTTGGAGGTTTGTGTTATTGGGGTTCACTGTAATGACACAAATGTACTTCTGGAGACTCCTGTCATTAATTTAACTGACATGTATAAATTAATAGTACTTATTTCAGTTAACAATATTACACTGCCACATTCATTAACCTACACTAATGCAGAACGCAATCAAAGTGTGTGCGTGTTTTTTTTTTTTCTTACAACAAATCATTCCTATGAGTACAACTTTGTTGATGGCTGTAACAAAGGGATGCCAGCAAAACAATATTTTGAAAGATGTGCAGCCAAGTAACACTTCAAGCTGATCAAGAATTTTTTCTCTTTTGTTCAAGGATGACAGATGAGCAGTCATCCATTAAATAGAGGTGACATAACTGGCCAATCGATTTTCAACCTTCCTAGTAAGGAATGTTATACTGCTAACAAATAAAGCAGCTGGTCTCTTTTTCCATAAAGAAAGAACAAATTAACAGAGTAACAAAAAGACATTTTAAAGAACTTTTTGGGTGCTAGAGCATGGAAAACAAAGTGAGGAAACCCAGTATTTAAAAATTTAAAATTTGACAAATATTTCAAGCATTTAAACTGATAGCATACATGTAATTATAATGAAAGACAAGGGTACATTACTGAATTTTCCTGCTCTATGCAAAACGTTTTTCACAAAGAGCATCATCGAAATTATATTACATGTACATACACATATGATAGACATCATCAAAATTAATAATGAATGTTAACACAGTGTATTAAATTTCAGACTGTGTTCCAGTGTTCCAGCCAGAGTGCGCCATTGCGTGAATCCCCCAAAAGATTGAGAGATGGCCCCGACAAAAAGCATTCAGGGGCCATTATGGTCCTTTCCTTCTTTAACTCCCTGGGCTTAAAAATGTCTCTGTTACTTCAACTACAATAATTTTCTAATTAAACAGAATTTTTAATCTAAAGAACGACTCCGTACCTTTGTACACAACATGAAAATCAATCGATGAATCTTCTTGAGTTTACCTGATTTACCGTGAGTGGTCTGGAGACCACTGAGCCTTGACTTGGCTTTTGTAATATCGCAGAAGCTCATGGGTATCAATCATGGCGTCTCAAAAAAGATGAACCTGACAAACACCTTACTAGAGGTACGACATTGCACTGGTGTCTCAGGACATTTCATAGGGTCATACATGAACTACTGACCCACATCTTCAAGGTCTATCGAAAGTTTTTTCTCAGTAACGAAAAAGTGGATGGAGGCGAAGCAGTTCAGAAGAAGCGAAAGGAAGCAGATCTTGAGAGTGAAGTGGAAAATGAGATGAAAAAAATTACTTACTATTTTATTGCATACATTCTGATGGGTGTACTGTTTGCTTTATCACCGAAGATTTCCTCTACTGTGTATAAAAAGGGATGCTGTATGTCAGCTTCAGCTTTCATTTCCTTAGCTTTCCAACTGTTTCTTTTCTTTTGCATATTAGAGAAATACTGGTACATTGGCCCTTTCTTGAAATATCTGGCCCCCAAAAATGGGTTCTAGGGGCCACTTAGGCCCTCAAACAGAATTTTCTGGCTGGAACACTGGTGTTCAGTGGAAAACTGAGTAAACTTAGATGCAATATTTTGTGTCATTCTCACTTATACTACCTAATGAGCTTTTTTGTCTGAAAATAGATTCTTTTTCACCTAGATATGGAGGATTGCCATCACCTCATAAAAATAAATAACCTAATTATACAATCAATTTTGAAAGCTTGATCTGATATGCAGATGGTCAAGGACACAGTGTTGCACACAGTGTTCCCATACATTACAAATTAATACTCAACATTTGTGTCAAATATGCAAAAGCCATTCAATTCTTGGTTCAATTTTCCTATTTAGCCTTGATGTGCATGTTGGTAGGCTTTCTTTTCAAACGTTCTTAATTTTATGTGTGAGTGCAGGACAAGCTAAAAGTGCATCCATAGATAGGAGACTACAGGTAACATACATGTAGGTGTACATTTATGAATAAGTGCTTAACATACATTTACGACTACAAAAAAAAGGCTTTGTGAAAAATGAGAAAATCAAATTGAGAACAAAGTCTGACTAAAAGAAACTGGTTGCATGAGTAAAAGCCTTGATTTAGGCTTGAATGTAAGTTGCAACATAACATTTTCAAAGATCAGGTACTGTGGAAAATGAAAATTTAAAATTGAAAGGTTAACACCTTTCAGTTTCAAGAGGTGCCACCTACAGTCATTATTATTAATGATAGTTTTTGTTATTACTTTTCTGAAGATGCAGGATAAGCAAAAAATCCAAAGTACATGTATGTTTATCTACTGTACATGTGGGTACTAGTACACTGTAAAATGGGTTCATGAAGCCTTCAGCATCACAGCATAAATACATGTATGCAACACACAGAGGAAGTCTTGGATGGATGACCTTTATCAAAACCTTTAAATAATTGTATGTAGATATACAGACTGTATCTTTTCCTATGGAAATTATTATTATTATGGAGCAACATAGATGGGAGGCATTAGCATGGAGGCTAAAATTTACATGAATTAGTTTCAATTGGCTGGCAGACCTCTGCTGCCAAAAAGCTGCCTAAATTAAGTGAAGCATGGTGGATTGCAGGAACACATTTGATGCCAAGACTACTATTTTCTCAGAATGAAAGAGAATGCCAGTGATAGTTTCTCCAAAGTTATGATAACCTTTTGGGTCCCCAAGGCACTAATCCATTTAAACTGAAAAATATTTTTTAAGCAATAACATGCTTGAAGAGAAATGATTTTAATCTAACCCAATTAATATCAATACTAAGGGGGCATAGAAAGAGTCCCTATTTAATGGGGTGTTCGGTTGAGTTCAGAGAAAATATGAGGGCCATATACTTTCCCCAGGGACAAGGAAAACTGTTTGTAATAACAAGGTGTCCATATTAAGCAGGTGTTTGTAACGCAGGGTTTGACTGTAACTATTACTACCACCAGCTCCCAATATTCTATTTACTATCATTTAGAGGTTGACTTCTGCACAGATTACTTACAGCTGTGTATCACCAGTCATCATCACATTTACATTCCTGTGCTTTGAGCACTACTCTCCATTGCATGATGATAGATGACTTAAAACAACAATAAAGAATTGTACAATGCTATTCAAACCATATACTTAGTAAGAGGGACAAGTGACACAACACATGAGATCATGTACGACTCAAAGGTTTTTTACCATTTACATGGGTGAACCTGTCGGTTCACGGTTTGGGCAAAAATGGTAAGCAAAATTCAGGACTGGTAAATTTGGTGACTGCAGAGTATTATATATGCACATTAGTTACAGCTCCATTGACCAGAAAATGGCCAAGAAAACTCACAACAGGTATCAAAAACGGCTTATAATTTGTACAAATGGAACACAAATTTCCATGGAACTTTCTGACTGGGTCAACAAGATTACCTTTTCAGAAATTTTGTTTCTCCCAGCAATTTTCGACTGGAACAACCCAAAAAAACATGTTTACTGTAGCTTTCCAACTGGTTTTTCTGGAAACTTATTTTTCTCTTAATACTGACTAAAATCAGACAATGTCAACCGGGGTCCAAAATACACACAAAATGATATAAAACTTCTGAATTGGGGTGATACGAATCTTTCACTTTTTTAGCTGAACATAGAATAATGACCTTTATACGAAAATAATTGTGGAGAACAGATACAGTGTGTTGCCTGTTTTTACTTGACTCAACATATATATCCTGTGAATAAGAAAAGTTAAACATCTCCTTCATACAGATGCCAAAGGATTAAGCCAAATATACACTATTATAGAGGCACATAGACCTTCATATTTAAAGTTTACAGTTACAGTATGTTTCAGTATCTTTTAACCAGGAGAAATGTCCATAGTGGAAAGGTGTACATTCCAGAACTAGTGTTCTGTGTTGTTTGTTCAAACTTCTGTTCCTGAATTTTAACTTCTAACTTTTATTGACAATTAAACTAAAACTGGCAAGGGTTTTTTTGTAGAACACAGCACACAGAACGCCAAATGACTCTAATAGTCTAGGAGCAATGGTATTCCCATGGGATTTTCGTGATAATTTCAAGTGACCAGTGCAAAACTGTTAGGGGGGCCCTAAGGGACATGTTTAATGTTGTTGGTACTTTTGTATTGCGTGCAGAGGATTTTTAGAAGGTGTTAAAAGAAGAGCACTGTTCTCCCCTCCACGACAACGAGGCTGAACAATAAAACGACTGAAAAATGGCCGTTTATTGGAATTTTGGAACAAACTACAATCAGTTTCAATATTCTGGGATGTCTTACTTAATAAAATTAGTTGATGGCGACACTTTTGCGTGGTCACGTGACCCAAAGTAGAGCCTTAAGACAATGTGACCCTTAAAGAGTACTAACATTAATACTTTTTCACATTGACAAATTGAAATCCATATTTTTCAACAAATTTTGACTCTCTGATCTTTCTACACCTCACTGTCAGGGCCCTCCTCCTCAATTTTTTGGTCTATTAGTATCTTCACTTGCATTTTTGCAGGGATCATTACTGTCAAAGCAAGAACAGAGGTAGGTGTAATTCAAGCCTGATTTCCGGCAGTGGCATCGATTGTGTGAACATCGGTTCTTTCACTGTTGCACTTGAGCAATTGGACTATTTCTTCAGCAGCAGGTGCTTCTTTTGTCATAATGGGGATCCATTTATCCTCCCTTTTCTCCCATCAAATCCATCTGGCTGTAACAAACTATCATTTTGATAGTGGGCACGGAGAATTGCTTCCTAAATTACCCTTTGTTTGGTGGAAGCCTATCCAATTTGCCTGATTTTTTTCGGAACATACATGTTTGCCATCTTAGTTCCTTGACTTGTGAGCTACTGGTTCCAGTCTGATAAAGCTGGCTTATAAACTTCTCCACAAGGACCAATATCTCGTCTCAGGGGATGCACTGTGGCTCCAAAGCAGCTATGGTATCTTCTGTTTCCATTCTTCTTCTTCTTCTTCTTCCACGTTTTCCAGCATAAAAGTTTCCCTTTAACAGAAAAACACCCGGTGATATCAGCGTGGAACGCTGGTAATGCGGCAAGTTTAACACTATTGAGGGCACTAGCGATTGGACTAAGATCAATCACACAATGGTTATCACCCGGAGCAAAGACAAATAATGTCTTCACACACAGCTTCGGATAGCGCCTTAGAGGCACAACTAACATCTTTGTCTAGAGATCAGAATGGATATAAAGCTCCATTTCACTGTTAACAGTTGTGTCCAGAGCGTGTAACAACATCTTGGTGTCTGCTTCTTCTTGATCACAAAGATGGTTCATATTTTGTTGTGTTGAACAACACTGGTAACCCCAAGGCCCAACAACTTGTAGATTTGTCTTCATAGCATGATCTAGGAACTTCTCTGTAGATAGCTCGTTCTCGGTCTTATTATGAGAAATGCATGGAATTATTGATACGTTAATATAGGCAATCTTGACCAGCCTGACCATTTACTCAGGTAGTTGTTTTCAGACACATTGGCTAGTCATATCTATTGAAAATCAGACAGACCTCATCATTGGACTTGTACTTATGGATGATTCTGGCAGTAAAGGGCTCTGCTCATTGCAAACAGTCTCTGATATCAACTGCCTTGCAGCGAGATTGACGTTCTGCCAATTTTTGGCGTCAACAAGTGCAACTTGCAGCTGAGATGAGGGTTCCATATTCACTCTTTCATTCACACTTACCTGAGGACCAGTGGTCGCTCTTTGCTCTGATACACCACCAAGTGCTTAACTTTTCAAGAACTGTAATGAAAGGGCTCCTTGCAAAAGAGTGAAGCATTTTACCATTGGGGCAAACAAAGACCTGGGAACTGACAGAAAACTCAAACTGGCCAATCACTGAAAACACCCATTCTGTGCAGCTATTGATTGCCACCGTAACAAGAGTGCAGATTCAAATAGTACATTCATTTTTTTTTAATAATTGTCAATACTTTTCTTTTCTACCAGATGAATGGTGGTATCCCATGTCTTCTTAACGCTTAGATGGTCTGATTCGTTAGCTTTTGGTGGTAGGTGAAACTCCACTTCAGGTATCAAAATTTGAGTCAACGGTTTTAGCATTTTTCAATTGCACACATCCTCAAGGACAATGTTTACTTTAATAAAATAATTCTCCCATAAATATGCCGCTTTTAAGTCGGACATAGTCAATATCATACCTGTCCTAAAGTTGATCTCTGTCATTGCTAAAAACTCTGTACTTAAGGACTGGGTAGCAGAAGTAAAAGGGTTTTTCCACGAGACTCGCTGCCGTCACAAAAGGAGCACCAATCTAGGTTAAATGGTGATGTTTTAGATGTCGTTAGCTGCGGCGTTATTTCCTCTGGCGCCACGTTTTTGTTTTTTTTGTTTTTTTTTTTTAATTGACAGCAAATTAACAACATTAATACACAGCAGAAGGTAAAGGAAACAAAACAATAAGTAAATAAATATGCCAGTAAGTAACAAAACAAATTACAATAAAAATAAAAAATATTGGAAAATAATAATAATTAATAAAAAAAAGAAAAAAAACCTATCAGTTGCCACACATTCAATATTGTTTGCCACAACTTTCAATGCGATATTGTTCAAAAAGCTTACGTAAAAATTCCTCTAAATTAGGTTTCATTACAATGTTCTTGCAAGTATACAAGTATTTCTTTTGCTGTAAAACCAATAGACGAAATTTGCACTGAGTTGAAATTGGCATTTGCATTGGAAGGGAGTCATTGAACGTGTTAAATAAAATTTGCTTGTTAGAAAGTTGTACGTTCTCTTTATGATATTCATTAAACCACCTTAAAGTTTTGGAAAACACTGTCTGTGCCACGATACTCCTTTATCCTTAGGCTTTTGAGCTGTAAATGTTTTTAATTTTAACCAGCTTTCAAAATGTTCTAAATGGGCATAAGACAGCCATTCCTGTATGCATGTCAATACTCTGTCATGAGAAGTTGGTTTCTCTACAAGTCGTGCATTTGGCTTAATTTTGGCCACAAATAATCCACACAAAAAAAAAACTTGAAAACCACTTCCACCTTCCTTAATTTTTTGAATGAGCAAACCAAGATGAGAAGAACCAAATATACTGCAAATTGCTAGGGATGAGTTTCACCAAAAAAATTTGTCAGCCCTTTTGATATGTGTGGTTATCGTTCACGCGATCAACTTGGCGTACGATCACGAAATAATGTTAGCTTAATAAATTTGTTCTATATAGCTTTCTTCGACAGTCACTACTTGATTTACCAAATCTTGAGAGTTGTCTTGAACTTAACAAATTACAGTGGCCAAACAAGTGCATTTGTCATCGTTTACGCATAGCAGCAACTTTCGCCGACTAGACGAGATATCAACAACATCGGTAAAAATACAACTCGGTGTTTGATCACGAGTTATTGTTACCTTTAATAATGATGCAAAGCTACCGCCAAAGTGAATTTTGCACGAATTCAGTATTGCGAATCCGACCCCGTCTAGGCTAGTTACCCCACCTTGAAATGTTTACATGGCAAAATTTGACCCCGGCTGAGGGGTTACCCTGCCTGGCAGACCAGGCTACCTGCCTTAGCGGGTCACCCCACCTATCACGTAAACGTGATCAAATTAAAATGAGAGATTATATGGCAGGCGGGTTACCCCACCTTAGCGGGTTACCTCACCTACCTGGGGTCCCCCACCTCCATGTAAACAGGCCCTAAGACCGAGAAGAAAAAATAAGAGACTGCTGACTCTTTTGTTCTCTCTGCGGACAACGAAGCTGTCAAGGTAGTTTAATTAACCAATTAAACCCAAGTAACTTGAAACGATTTATAAATAGAACATAAACAACTGCAAATTTTTACTTTTTAAGGTACGATTGCCTTGAATTTGTTTCTCTTGAGGAAATTTTTATCAGTTTCCCTCTGTAAGATATCCTTCAACATTTTAGTTTAAAAGCGATTACCACTAGGTTTGTAATTGTTTGCAGTTAGTTGTGACGTGTGACTATTTTTATCGCTTGCATCTCCCCCACAGACCAGTCAATGATCTGCCAACAGCTGCAAAATTGACCAATCGTTTAGTCTGTTTCTGGGCTGACCAAGGGTTTGTTTACTACAAAAGAGTCCGCAGTCCGTCTTTTCTCGTCTGGTCCTAATCCCTTATTGTAACGTAACGTCATCGTTTGCAATCGAGCTGGCTAAGATAAGAAGTAGACCGATTTTAAGAGAAAAGGCAGACTGCAAGCAGCCTACGGCAACTTTCGCCAACCAGATATCAACAACATTGGTAAAAATGCAACTTGGCATTCGATCACGGAATATTGTTAGCTTAATTTGCTCTTTGTAGCTTTTTTATACAGAACAGAACTCAGTACAGAACACTTGATTTATGAAAGAAAGCTATCTTAAATTTAACAAATTACAGCGGCCAAATAAGACAACAGTACATTTGCTGAACAGCATTTTTTTTTGCGTGACCGTGACACATCACAAATTTGCATAGTGTCAAAACATGTGAAATTTTAAACTAACTTCTCAGGTACTATATTTGCATACTATGGCGCTTCTATGAACCAGATAAATGTTAGTCATGGTAAAGCTTTACCATCGGTTCTTGACCATGATATAAATGTACTTACAGTTTTTAGGCTTCACGTCCTCCGCTACAGGAATCGTGTAGCACGCGACGCGATTCATGTCTCGCGAGAGGGTGGTAACTTACTTTTGAGCTGTACTGTAAATTGAGGTCTTTGGTCTCTCCAGTTTCTGTAGAACTTGACATTTAGACTGGGTAAAAGACGTAACGGCAATATGTATCCCAGATGTTCATGTCGCAACGCACAACACCGAACCAGAAAACTGGAATATGCATTAGCATGTGCGATGAAGAAAAAAAATAGCCTATATAACTGTCATAGTTTGAAAATGGAATTTCTTATTTTATTATAAAAGCAGTCTAGTTTATACTTGAACTTTTAAGTGTTGGGAAAAAAACGAGGATTGTCCACATATGTAGCAGGACAAATTCCTTGTTCTCCCACATTGATATCCCAAGGAATCTTACTTTCATCTAAGGCAACTGGCTTCTTTTGAACTAAAAATTTGGATTTTTAACTTTTACCCAATGCACCAGAGTTAATAGAACATTCCTGGACATCTTATAAAATATTACTTTTACATTTACAGAAAAGAGAGTGATTGACTAACAGCCGTTTTTTAAGCATTTTCAAACTTTAGCTTCGCTTTCATGTAAAGCTTAATGGGCAATTTTTCAGTACCCCTTAAATACTTCGTGCAGGAATAACAGAGGTGGCGACAACATTGAACATGTTCCTTAGGTCCCTCTCAACTTCTACACTGGTCGCTTGAAATCACCACAAAAATCCCACGGAAATTTTTTCAGCGACATATGCTCCCTGACTATAAGGTTTTTCTTTGTGATTAGAGTCAGGAAAACTGAGTGAATCAGGTTCCACTTTGGGATGGGAACACAGACCCGAAACTTGATTCACTCAGTTTTCTAATCCTTGTCACTAACCTTCAGACTAAGTCGGCTTTCCGCATTCGGTGTTAGGTAATTCAAGCGGAAACTATTTGGATTCCAACGACGTGTAAACTCACGCCAATGATTGACCAGCCAGCAAAGTGTTTTGTAAACAGTTAAGAACTAAACCTCCTCGCTGGAACGTTCTATTAATACGTTAACAAGCGCAAAACTTGAACATTTTAAAGACGAAAGCGCTGAGATCGGCTGCTTTTCTTATGCAGTAATCTCTACAGGCTGTTTCTCAAAGCTTACCTTAAAGAACGCAGAATGCAACCTCTACAGAATCTGTGTCCGCAGCCCGTCTGCACCGGTTCTCGCAGGCCAAGAAGACAGATTGGACATTCGTATTTACTTTCAAGCGGTGGATCGAAGTATTCATCGTATCCCTCAGATCTGGGTTCATCATAATTTGACAAAAGTTCTCTCGCGAATAAACTCCCAGGGCTTGGTTCGAGTGAAGCTTCGCGAGCAAAGGCACCCTGTTCCTCACGACGAAAAGAACGAGTCATCGTCACTCAGCAATTTCCATCTTTTTAATTCTCCTCAAAACGCGGCAATTTGTAACAGGCTACGTTGCACGATTTACAAAACTGAGTTAAAGGAGCATATGAATGGTTTTCCTTTGGCTTCTTCTATCCCATCATCCTTTGAGAACTCCGAGTAAGACTGGGCAAAAAAGGGAAGGGGATTGGGGAGAGGGGGTAAGGCATTCTTCCCTTTTGCCTTTTTCCCTTTCTTCCCCTCCCCCTTTTGCGCCTGCCAATTCGCCTGCCACGCAGGCTACCGAGCAAGGGCCCCAGGTTTCCCCACTCCACATCCCCCCTGCCCTCCGCCCCCCTTCCGCAGCGCCGCGCCCTTAATAATGAAATGTGAATGTGAGGTCTTCCAATCATAATCAACAAGCAAAGGATAGTGCAGAAAACTTGCCTAACATCATGATCCAGTCGTATGACGTCCCGCTGCTCCTGCGTGTAGACGTTACCTTTTTCCTTTGCTTGGCAGTGGATCGGAGACATCCTCTATTTATGTAGTCTCCTACACAGCCGTTTTTAGTGTCGTCACTCAACGTACCTCCCCAATAATTAGTTACTTGGGAGGGGCGTTGCGTGACGACAGTGGCGTGCCCAAGATTCTGAGGTGATGGTAGTCTCTCTTTTCAAATGTCGGTCATTTATCCAAATTATTATTGTAGGTTATTTTATGTATTGTCATTTGTTTCTGAAATAGGCCAAATTATGGGGCTTCCCTCTCCCTCAGAGCTTACAGGTGGCGCGCCCAAGATTCTGAGGTGATGGTAGTCTCTCTTTTCAAATGTCGGTCATTATCCAAATTATTATTGTAGGTCATCTTTGTACTGTCATTTGTTTTGAAATAGGCCAAATAATGGGGCTACCCTCTCCCTCAGAGCTTACAGGCGGCGCGCCCAAGTTTCTGAGGTGATGGTAGTCTCTCTTTTAAAATGTCGGTCATTTATCCAAGTTATTATTGTAGGTTATTTTTGTATTGTCATTTGTTTCTGAAATAGGCCAAATTATGGGGCTACCCTCTCCCTCAGAGCTTACAGGCGGCGCGCCCAAGATTCTGAGGTGATGGTAGTCTCTCTTTTGAAATGTCGGTCATTATCCAAATTATTATTGTAGGTCATCTTTGTACTGTCATTTGTTTTGAAATAGGCCAAATTATGGGGCTACCCTCTCCCTCAGAGCTTACAGGCGGCGCGCCCAAGATTCTGAGGTGATGGTAGTCTCTCTTTTGAAATGTCGGTCATTATCCAAATTATTATTGTAGGTCATCTTTGTACTGACATTTGTTTTGAAATAGGCCAAATTATGGGGCTACCCTCTCCCTCAGAGCTTACAGGCGGCGCGCCCAAGTTTCTGAGGTGATGGTAGTCTCCCTTTTGAAATTATAATTGTAGGTTATTTTTGTAGTGTCATTTGTTTTTGAAATAGGCCAAATTATGGGGCTTCCCTCTCCCTCAGAGCTTACAGGCGGCGCGCCCAAGATTCTGAGGTGAAGGTTGTCTCTCTTTTAAACTGTCAGTCGTCAACCATAGTATTATTGAATTTTCATTTTCCAGAGTTCATAGTGGTACCTTCTTTATAGTTTTACGTGATTTGTGGCAAAGACAAGACCAGGCTAACAAATTTATTCTACTTTATGCGTGGTGCGACAATCACCGTGGCTGACTGGCCTCCAAAGTTCCTTTATAATTTGGACGCTTCTCAGGAGTTCCTTCACTGCTTGTAATCCAGAATTGGCGATTCTCAGCAGCTTGAAGCTCTTGCATTGCATCAGTTGTTCCTTGGACGACGACCTTTTCTTGTCCCGAGTACAATATCGATTCTCGATTCTCGACTCTCGATTACCGTATCTTGCTCGTGCAAGGTTTCGGCAACGGGACCAGTACTAAGACCATTGCAGGAAAACTGTTTGGTAGAAGAAGAGTGAAATGGTGGCTTCGGCGCGTTACCTGTCTGATGCTCGGTATATCACTGCCAAACTGCGCAACAGAATGCGCGAAAAACCCCTCCGGTACTTGAAAAAAAAAAAAAAAAACCTGAGCGATGTAATTTAGTAACTTATTCATGGTGTTCAGCTTCCGGTTTATTCAGCTTATTGCCAGTTGTAGGCAAAGTTCACGCGCACATTATCGCACTCTAACTGGATCGATTGTGAGGAAACTCTTATGTCAGTCATTGACTAAAAACCCCCGCGCGTTAAGCCTTTGTGCGACGGACGTCCCTTAGAAATATAAATTGCCCACACTGATCGCCAATTCTACTTGCAAACTGTTGCTGATTGAGTTGTGCAATGTATTCTAGAGTGTAAATTTAGTACTAACCTCGCGGACAAGGATGCAATGAGACATTTATTTGCGTAGTTAGGCCTACTATCCATTGGGCAAGCATCCCTTTTATTTTCTTTCGATAGCCTGTCCATGCACTAACCTTTGGGTACAGAAACTAGCTGCCTCTCGCTGTACCAAAACTTGATAGTTTTGGCGTTCAATAGTCTTAACGGGCGCTCACAAAACACCGGGACTGCATCGTGCTTCCTTGGCGCTTTGGTACCCTGCGAGCTTTGGTTCATCGCGTTTTGAAAGATGGAAATTTTGATATTCCCGCGTAAAAGAAGACCGATAAAATGTGTCTTTCATTGACTACAGTGAAACGCCCGGAAATGAAGGATGTTTTGAAAGAAACGGGAAAACTGATAAAAGTAAATATTTGTTTTGATAAGTGAAATTAATGAGAAATAACCATAAGCTAGTTTTGTTGTTTTGTTTTTTAAAAGCGGTTTGTCTGGTACCAGATTTGTACAATTACTTTCAATCAAACATGGATCGGGTTTTGTTAATTATGACAGAATGTAATTAAAAAGCATTATGTTGACAGCTACAAGGCACATGCTTGCCTTAAAGGAACAGTATCCCGTTACTGCGCATGCACCAAACTTTGATTTTTGGACAGGATATCGCGAAATCAAAAGATGCGAGGAGAGTAAGAGAATCTTGAAAAATCCGTTTGCATCGCGCTTGACCGGGTTCAATACGACAATTAAACTTCTCAGGATTATAGATCAGTGATATATTGTTCCGGTTAAGTTTCGATTTGGGCAAAATCTGGATTTTATGGCGTTACTTTTATTGCCGTTGGCCAGAGGACCAAAAAAAATCTCCGTCGGCGGTGCGGTCCGGAAGGAAATCTTGTCGAGTCAATATGACAGTTCCATTGTCTTTGGACGAAAAAACAGATGACGCTCGCGCGTGCGCATAATCGGGACACTGTCCCTTTAAGCTGCGAGTATCCCGCCATGTTTTAAACAAAGGGCCTCTGACCAAGCCGGCATTCTAATCTGCCACAAATATGTGAGGCACGCGTCTTTCAAAGTCGCCTAGGGCTCTGGCCTGTTATGTACACGCGAAGCACCATGGGTAAGAAAATGAAGTAATCTACCCATCCGTGAAAATTTGGCAACCACGTGACCGTACACCCGCACCACAGGCAAACCAATGTAAAATAACAACAGATATGGCAACCCAAATGCAACTCGAGGTTATTTTGGCGGGAAATCGCATAGCCACCGGCGTCTTGTAAAGCAGAGACAGCTTAAGAGTCAATAAAGACGAAAACGGAAAGCGGAAAATGTTTCTGTATCCATGTTGTCTAAAGTATCGTGATGTTCACAAATTTGGAATATAGAGCAGGAGAAAGACAGAGAAAAAGAGAAAGTAGGCGGCAGGCCAGCGAAGCTCAACGAGAAAAAGGGCGACAGAGATCTAGAGCGATAGATAAAAAAAGGAGACATTTTTTTGTTGGAATGACAACATAAAATGTGACCACCTTGTCCGGTCCGGTCTCTATCCGCTATTACAATCTGCATATCGCCGATATCACAGCACGGAGACAGCGTTGGTCAAAGTTGCTAATGTTATTGAATATGAACTCGCAGCGTGTTACAATACTTGTTCTCTTAGACTTAAGCGCTGCTTTTGACACCGTGGACCTCGCGATTTTGCTAAAACGCTTGACCACTGATTTTGGTATAGGCGGGAACGTTTTAGAGTGGTTCTCGTCGTATTTGTCGGGACGCAGCCAGCGTGTTTTGTTTGAGGGGGCTACATCTGCTAGCTTTGATCTGCGTTTTGGTGTCCTACAAGGCAGCTGTACTCGGCCCGCTTCTGTTTGTCGTTTACGCCTCCAAGCTCTTTGAGATAGTACAAGACCACCTGCCAAATGCGCATTGCTTCGCTGACGACACGCGACTTTACTTGTCTTTCGATCCTAACAGTCCTAGGGATCAAGCGATGGCATTGGAAGCCATGGAGTGATGCATTAGTGATTTACTTAAATGAATGTACCGGGACAAACTAAAGATCAACTAGCCTGGTAAAGAGATTCACTAGCACTTTCCCCACGAACAAGATGCTCGTAAAAACGACTCATGAACTGCTCTGTTGCAATATCGTCTATGGCCCACAATGCCACCAACACGGAGCGCGCACCAGCCCCTAAGAACGCGCGAGCGATTCCAACCACTCCCTCGGCTCTGATCTGTCCTTCCGCACTGTGACAACAACTGAGGACTACCAGTTTCGATCGCAGTCGAACATGTGCGATGTCGGCCATCGTCAGCAGGTAGTCTTCTTCTTGAGGAATTGCATTAGTGGAGAGCGATGGTGTAAGGACGATTTCACCCCTTTCGGCATTACCATGAGCAGCGAAATGAATCAAACTCACTGAATTTATGCTTTGTAGTATGACCTGCTTTGTTGCATGTTTTCCTACCAGAGGTTTTGTTCCTAAAAGTTGGGAAATCACCTCTGCTTCTCTTAGCGCAAACGGCAACCTCGGTGGATGGCAAATTTCACCTTCATACCGCACCTGTCCAACATCGGGATCACCTACAATCAGTGCACCAGTCTGGCTGTGATAATCTGCTGGACTGTCCTGAATAAGCCTCAGAGTCGTTAAAGAGGGGACGACGCGGATTCTGAAAGCTTCTGACAAATATTTACCACTCTGGTCCTTTAAAGCCGCAAATGGAAGTTTGTAAAAGACGCGATCTGGGACAAAGACGATTTCGGGTTCCTCGAGTACGTCAGCAACAGGATTGATGATCATTTGGTAATAAAAAGCTAGAATCTCTTGGGTTTCTTCGGTCGAAATTTGGAAAACGTTCGCGATATCTCCATTCGATGCTGATTCTCGCTTTGGCTCACTCACATTTGAAGGACACCAAGATCGATCCTCACATTTGACCTGATTTCCACGAGTTCCACTGCCCAAATATTCAACGAGTTTTAATGCCTTGCAGTTATCAAGCATAACTGATCTGTAAAGCATTGGTTCTCCGTCTTTGAGTAACCATAAGAATATAAATTGTTCATAATAAGACACATACAGGCACACACAGCGACTTTCATTCTTTACTATCCCTTCTATACCAACCCATGACTGTGGATTGACTGGTTTCCCTTTCTCCATTGAGTACTTAGATAGCATTAGGTCTGCAAGGGCTCTGGCTCGTCCAAGCTCCGCAGCGTAGAGAGCGTTTGAGGGATCTTTATTGGCACAAAACAAATAACTGAGACACTTGTAACAATGAACATGTTCGTCAAAAAGCGAAACCTTCAAGTTATCATCTTCTCCCAGAAGGCTGCGCATATCCTCAGCCTTGGACGTGCTTTCAAAAAGATGCGCTTTAGCTTCATGCATGTGGTTTTCATTTAACATGAGTAGCGAAAGGCAAAAGTGGGTCGTTAACTCAGACGATTTGCTTCCTTCCTCTTTGTGCATCACTAGCGCTTTCTCCAGATATTCGTTAGCCTTGGCATTTTCGTTGAGAGACAGAAATACAGTTCCTAGATGTTGGTAGCTTTTAGCTTCGTATTCTCTGCTGTCAATTTCTTTTGCCAAATCAAGTGCTTCGTAAAGAAATTTCACCGCCATGTCATATTCACCGAAATATTTGTACACTCTTCCTAGGTTTCCGAGAGTTGCTGCTTCTCCAGCTCTGTTACCGATTTTCTTGTGAATCGTAAGTGCTTTTTCGTGACACTCTCTAGCCTTGACGTATTTCTCGAGATCTTGAAACACAGTTCCTAGGTCTCCTAAAAATAAGGCTTCTCTCTGTTGGTTTCCAATTTCCTTTGCAATCAAAAGTGCCTCTTCGAGGTATTCTTTCGCCTTGGAATACTCACCGAGAGCCTGCGATAGAGTGCCTAGGTTTCTACGCTGAACAGCTTCTAATTCTCGGTAACCTGTATTCTTTGCTAATGTAAGTGATTTTTCGAAATGTTCTTTAGCTTCAGCATAGCTGCCGATAGACTGTAACACTTCTCCAAGGTTTCCATAACATGTAGCTTCATCTCTCTTGTCACCAACTTTCTTCACGATCACAAGTGCCTTTTCTAGATATTCCTTAGCCTTGGCATTTTCACCATGTAAGTGGGCTACAGTTGCTAAGTTACAGTAACACGAGGCTACAACTCTCCTTGCACCAACTTCTTTTGCCATCACAAGCGCTTTCTCAAGATATTCTTTAGCCTTGGCACCTTCACCAAGATGCAGGAAGATGGTTGCTAGGCTAGAATAGCATGAGCCCCGTTCTTTTTTGTCGCCAATTTCTCCTAGGATTGAAAGTGCTGTTTTGAAATACTTTTTAGCTTTTAAATATTCTCCAGTGGACTTAAAAACGTTTCCTAAGTTCCCATAAGAGGTAGCTTCTCCTCTCTTATCACCGGTCTCTTTACTGATTGCAAGAGCTTTTTCAAGATTTTCTTTAGCCTTGCCGTACTCACCAAAGGAATAAAATAAAGTTCCTAGCTTACTATAACAGATGCATCCTACATCTTGGACTCCAATTCGATTTGAGAGGACAATTCCCTTTTCCAGACATTCTTTAGCTTTGCCGTATTCTCCTAAGGACATAAGACACGATCCAAGTTTACCGTAGCAGAATGCTTCTTCTCGTTTTTGACCAGTTGCCATATAGCTAGGAAGTGCTTTAGGATAATACTCTTTTGCTTCCTCATACTTAAGTTGCTGTTCATAAACCATCGCGAGTTCAAACATGACCTTTCCTTCCAAGTCTCTTTTACCAGTTCTTCGTTGAATCGCCATGAGTTCTCTTCCACATTCTATGGCACTCGCGGGGTTATTCATAAGACGGTACGCGATAATCATTGGGAAGTAAATCACGTAGGTGGTTAACTCAACGAATTCCTTTTCTTTTTCAAGGGCTTTATTATTAAGGAGGAGCACGCATTCCTTGTACACCTGAATAGCTTTTTCAACTCGATTGGTGTTGAGAAGGAGCGCAGCAACACCTACACCAATGCATAAAGCGTCCACGAGCTGTTCTAGATTGTTCATGGCGGTACTGATTTTCTAAAGACAAAATTAAAGTTAAGTGAAGAAAATGTGAATTAAATGATATTTTGAGCCACATGTAAATAAAAGTAACCTGAAATCCTAGGTTACGATAACTTACCGAAAGTAGGTTGAGTTTGATCGTCCGGGTAAACGTAGTCGGGACTGTTGTTGTTGACAGTGACAGTCACTGTCAACACCAACAGTCCTATTCAGGACTAAGTTCACTCAACCTACTTTTGAAATGACTCCTGGGTTCAAACCTTTCACAATAACTTGTGGGCACCGAATCTCCTGCGGGGAACGCTTATTTTGGCCTCTCTTATGGTGTTCTGGCGGCCGGAAAGCCAGCATTTATGCCCATGAGGTGTCTCGTAGGGTTGTGCGTAAACAAATATCTCGTATAAAAAAAGAAAACGCTGTTATATTGTCAGGAGCGGCTCCTACACGGTGTTGAAGTTTGGTCTCTTTTGTCTCTTTAACGGTCAAATAAAGCTTGAGTCATACCCATATTGGTCTCCTTTAGGGGTCAAATAAAGCTTCAGCCACGCCCATATTGGCCTCTTTTAGGCTTTTAATTTTGATCTTTCCAACGAGCATTCCCGTCACTTTTTACGAGATTTCCTCCCGGGAAAAAATAATAAGAGGTGTCCAGCCGTTTATAGAGATACGAGGTAACGTGACACCAGTAATTTTAAAGCTGAACACCTATTCGCAATGAATACACGTGTGTTTATCTTGTGTAAAACCAGCTAAAAACTGGAGCAATCAAAGGTTCATTACGAGCAAACTTTCACGGCTTCGGGGTCCGCCCAAAAGCCTAACAGTACACACTCTGCAAACTGAAGTAAGACTGTAAAATATCATGGCAAAGATTTTGCAATTTACTGTCATATTATCATAGAGCACCGACATTTCCGTTTTGAAGTTTTTTTTCTGCATAAAGCACTTCCCAATTGTCCGTTGACAGTTTCAAAATTGTTCGTTGTCGGTCTTAAAGAGGTGTCCGTCTTATAGAGAGTATAGTTACAGTAATATGACTGACAATCGGCAGGGACAAACACCTGGTGTCCGTCTTTAAAGTTGTCTGTCTTATAGAGGTGTCCGTTATAGAGGAATGAGTTAGCTGTAGAGGTAAGGCCATGAGCCTTTGCCTTTGCAGGTGTTAACGAAGGAAAATATGGTTTGCGCGTTTCAGTGTAAGTCCTAGACTCAAGATGTCTTCCCTATGCTACATAACATAACATTCAGTTACACACACATAACATTACTCAAGACTTCATAAGTAACTAAATTAGGTAAGGTTTACTAATTTGCCTTTGCCGACTCACCTGCTTGTTCAAACTTAAGGATCGGAACAAAAAATGCAATTTACGCAACCAGAAAGGTTTTAACCTGAAGTTTAGAAATAAAGCAAGTAAAAATTAATTCCTAAAGTCAAGAAAAATTCACCTCGGATGATTTACTTTGCACGCATGCGTGGTTCCCCCATTTATTTCGTGCGGCTTGTTGGTATTGGGGGCATATTTACATGGAGTTGGGGGACCCCAGGTAGGTGAGGTAACATGTGGTGGGTCACCCCACCTATCATGTAACCGTGATCAAATTAAAATAAGAGATTATATGGACAGCCGGGTTACCCCTCCTAAGGGGGTTACCTCACCTACCTGGGGTCCCCCACCTCCATGTAAACAGGCCCTTAGTCAGGGAAACTGCTCTTAAATAATATGCACTGGGGTTAGATATTGTCTAAGATCAAATGACGGCAAACGTCCTAACATGCCATTATGCAAGTCAGTTTACCACGCTGGGTGATCGATCTTTTTATATGGCTGCCCCAAAATTATGGAGCGATCTTCCCCTTTCTATTAGAAATAAACCGTCAGTTAATGGTTCTAAAAAGGCTCTTAAAACTCATTTGTTTCAGAAAGGCGTTTCCCAGTTAATTCATTGTTGTCATTATTTTTATCAAAAAAGGTGTGTAAATAGGATTTTAAAGAATAATTAGTAATTGTGTTTAGGATTTTTAGAATTAGGATGGAACATAGTTTTTTAAATAGGATTTCTAAGTAGAATTTATGTAATGCGCAGATGAAATTTTCTTTCTCTGGATTGATATTTGCGCAATACAAATCAATAAATATCATTATTATTATGGTAGAAAATTCGTGTAAAACATTTATGGATATATGTTTTTCGAAACTATAAGTTAGTAAAAACCGATATTGTGTTTATAATGTCTGTCATAATGGAAAGTTATTCCTCAATAGGAAGTCTGGAATGTGGTCTCGTTACTTATAGAATTACCAACCGACACAACTGTCAATAGGGACTATAGGCAAAACGCTACGGTGATGTTTACTATGCTCAGTCTTGGGGAAAGTACGTCACTATCGTCCGCCAAATTTCAACGTTAAGCAAGTGACTACGGGGTTTCTCGCTCATTTGCGTTCGCTGTAAGTAAAACGCAGGGAGGACGTGATTACTGAAAAACCAGAAGCGTAAAATAATTTCTTGATAAAGTGAAAAACTATCTATGATGGGTTTTAAAACCAGTGATTGTAAAAAATAGGAAAAAAGGCGACTTTTATACTAACGTAGTAGCGACTACGCCACAAGACAGGTCTTCACGTTGTAGGATTTGACGTTACAGCGAACGGTCATTTCCAAGCCTGCGCAGTGCGTCATTCTTGGCTCTTTTACTTTCGGCCGCCGAACATTCTCGTCCCCAGAGCCACTCGGCTTAATTTGTAACCGACCAGTGGCTCTGCCCCTCCTTTCCCGACCACGTGACCAAGAAACGACGGGCTCTGGGGACGAGAATTGCTGCCGAAGTAGAGATCGTAGCGATGTGCTTGAAGTCCCTAATGACATCATTGAACAGCTGTTTCTCGGAAAACACAGGAAGTCTTTGATGTCATAGGACGTTTCCTACATAAAATGAGTCAAGATTCCTTTCGATCCTTTATCCAACAGTCAAAAGGAGGATACGATGTAACGCTGTTGTTTGACAGTCAAAGAGAGACAACACTTTCTTGAGAACATGAAATAGACAGTGGATGCACCACTTGCAGAATTTAATTGTAGAATTAAATCTAATCCCAAGGCCTCATTATTCCGCGCGGACTAGTATGCGTTACCAAGAAGGCCTAGGAATACGTCGTACAAGGAGCAGGCAAAGATAGACGGCCTGGCTAAAAGAAAAAGAAAATACTGCAACTCTGGCTAGTGCCTATCACATCATAGGCTTCCTGTTTTGATTCCGAAAAAAAAAGCAAATTCACATTACAAGTAGACTCATATGTGCGGAAGCAGTCAAGATTTTTCCCCGGGGGAAACTCCCATATAAAAGTAACAGGGATGCTCGCCGGAAAATCAAAAGGAGACCAATGTGAGTGTGGGTCAAGCTTAAACTGACCCTTAAAGAAATCACGGTATTTTTCGTTAATTTCTTTACGGACAGCCCTAATCGATACCTGGATGGGCAAATATAGTGACGTTCCATCCCAAACACGCCAAGTGAGACCAAAATCTGAAATTCTGACCCCAAGGCGAGGCGAAACATCCCGTCACTTTTATATGGGAATTCCCCTCGGGGATTTTTCCTAGAAGGAAAAGCAAACTTACGTACATTGCTGTTTTTACAGACGGTGTGTTAAAAAATAGAAACATTGTTCTCGTTACGTTTAGTAGATATGAGAATCTCTTTAATATGCTCTCCGTCATTTGAACTCAAACATTTAGCGCGTGTGGTTAGATACAGACGTCATTTCTACGAAAAAGAATAAGCTTCGATCTCATTTCTGTCACAAAATATGGCTCTTTATGGCTGAGCGTCATTATTCAAAGGATATCACGAAGGAAAGACAATGAAGTTTCTTCATTTATAAACTGTTACATATTGATGTCACACTAACACACAATATGGCGTATGCTTGATTTGCCGACTCAAATCTCGCACATTTACAAGCAGTATTGCGACGTAGCTCCGTTAAGATAGCGTCTACAGAGGCCGTGCTTCTATTTTTTGTTGGTTCTACTTTTAAAATGGCACGGACAAGAAGTTCTGTTGATAAATTAACACACGCAAACAAGCTGAAAAGATTGTACTTACGGTTCGCCTCTACTCGCTTTCAGTTGTAAAGTGCAACAGTATGTAATCGGAAACTCCGCGAAGCTTATCATGTTTCAAATTGGCCAGAAATACCGTGTGACTGTATTCAGTGTATTGTTTTACGAGGTCAAACTTAATTTTCTAGAGGGAAGGGGATGATACTCTGGGAGTATGTCTAAATGTCGCGGGTAGAGGTCGCGGGTGCGGGTGCGGGTGCGGGTGCGGGTGCGGGTGCGGGTAAAGGTCGCGGGTAAACATAAATCATCAAATTAAGGTGATTCCATAGTAAAAGAACCTAACATAGATTTTAGCTAAAACTTGGTACACTGATGTAACAAGTCAAGAAGATGATAAAAAAGTAATAAAAAGTGGGGGTCACCGTGCTCGTTTTGACGTCACAATGCTGACAAATACGTCTATTTAGGACCCTTTTACAAAAACCGCGGGCAGCGCAAAACTAGACAAAAAGGAGAGATTTTTTCGATGATGCATGTGACATCACACAGAATTTGACTTTAATGTATTGTTTATCCACTTAC